CCATACTAGAACAGTGGCTAAGCAGCCAGTCCGATCGACTACATTCTAATCGGTTCATGGTTTCCCAATTTGGTTCACGACAGCAGACCGATGCATGGTGCTGAAACGGCGAGGTCAGATATGTTCTCCTTCATAAAATCCCACATCTCATCATCGTGCCGCAGAACTACGAGAACCCAGTACAACCTACCACCTGGTCTAAGGAGGGAAAACAATGACTCATTAGCAGGAATAAAGTCATCAGACCATAGGGTAAACGAGAAAATTATTGGGTGTACTAAGCAACGCCGAAGTGAATGGATTAACGTCGCAATTGCAGGTGGGGCGAATTAGATTTCGCAACACTGGCTCCTTCGATTAACTACGGGACATGACAGTAAAATCAGTGAGATGATCCCAATAAATACTGGCTGAAATAGCGTGCCTCAAGAAGGAAAACTGACGGAGTTTAGACACGTCCCGTCGCTTTAAGAGGTCATAGTTGCTGCCCTAGAGCCGTAGCTGTTGCCCAGTTATAGGCTTTGAAGGCAGCAACTCAAAACTTGGCTCGAGACGGTTTGCCGTGACATGGAAGTCGTCTGTAGACTTTTCGCATGAGGTCTCCACTGGAGGAGAGGATGGGTCCAGCTGCCCAGATTCGCTGCCACAGATTGTCATAGGCAGAGGGTTACAACCCACAGTAAAGTCGAGGCCGGCTACATAAGGCATGATAAGAGTTTTACCGAGTACAGAAAAGCCTTCCTTCCTCCCAGGTGACGAATCGCTACATCAAAAACAACGGTTTCGTCAACACTATTTAAAAATTCATTCTCAGCAAAGAAATGATTTATACAAACAGAGAGGCGAAGGCAAATTCAGGAAACCGCATGGATAGATATAAAAGGTTGAACACGATATTAAGATAGAGTAAATAGCGGAAAGAATGGCAGGGCGACTATACTTTGGGGACGGCGCGCAGACAATGCGAAAACCATAAAAGGGTGGAGAAGAGGATAAGACTACCACTCTGGTGCATCGCACCAAGATACACCGGCACGTAGTTGATGAGAGTGAGTACACCGAGTGCTGACTGACCAAACACCGCAGCTAGCATGAGGTGAGCAGCGTTGCGAATGCGTGAACCAGTTCGGCCCCGACCAGCGGCCATCGTGAGACCCCACAAGGCGCAGACGCAGCCAACCGAAGTGTAAGCTAGCATGCGATGCATGAACTGGACTGCTGTTGGGTTGTCTATCAGGTTCCGTTTTGTAGAACCGTAGCGTGGTACGATTAAGTCTTCTGGTACCCACCTGTCGGCCATCTTCGGCCACGAATTGTAAACCAGTCCGGCATCGAGGCCAGCCACAAATGCACCTGCGAGAGACAATATTAATATGGCCAGAGTAGTTAAGAAAATGGACAATCATTTCGCTGGGTGGAAAAATAAACGAAAAATGGCGCGCACTCACCCCAGACGAGTGTTGTGAACACGAGGGCTTTGGAGGAGTGTACCAAAATTTTGAGCCGCAATAATCCGTCAAAGTGGGAGAGCTATAAATGGATGAAAGGCAGTGATGGGTCTTTCCAAACGGAAAGGCACTAAATTAACCTGGAATGGTTTAATTAATTATGGAATCTAGTTGCTTGGAAAGTTCTTAGCTTGTTCTTTTGTACAACCTCGACCTCGTATCGTAAAAGACGGCCATCGCCCCGCTTTACGATTACTGGTGGTTTCGTAAGGAGACTTTAATTAACGCGACAACATAACACTAAGATTCCATTAAACACACAACGATATGATTTATGGGTAAGTAGAACAGGCTAGTTTGTGGTAAAAAAAAAACTTTGGATTAAAATGGTGCGACGAAGCGACCACTACGGCAAACTCCACTGAGCTTTATGAGGATGTTCTAAACAAGAAAGCAGTAAACTTACAGGGCAAATAAACCAATAATTAACTTGAATGGTAATAGCAAGTTTAATACGAAGTAAATAGTAGATCGAAGCGCATAAAAACTTTGATTCGGTAAATGCGGTGAAACTATGGGTTAATTATGGAATCATTCTTGCCGTGTTAGAGAGGAAGAAGAGGAAGGCCTACTGACAGCAAACAATCGTTAATCGCGGAGCATAACATAGAAGAAGCTGTTGCAGCCAACGGACAGGAAATGAGCTACATACCTTCGGATGCTTCACATAGTGACTGAAGGTGGCCCACAAAAAGAGGGAGTAGAGGATAGTTGCGGCGCTTAAGTGAGCGGCCAGGCGGAGGTGGCTCACTCGAGGCACCCCGACGAAGTCCTCGTTCGGATCAACACCAACCGGCGGTTGGGGTTTCTTTAATCCACTTTTGACCATATACCAACCTAGCAGGCCCTAAAATAAGCATGGCTCGTTTAAATAGACCCTACGGTAAAAGTAAAACGAAGTATGAAGTACAAAACGAAGCAATTGTTTGCTTAAGAAAGAGTCAGGGGTATATAAGAGTCAACGTGCCTGACAACCAATGAGCACACCGTATGCGATGACTCGCGGCTTCATCCGTTTAGTAAACTGTCCTGTATACCAGAAATATCCAGCAGGGAGAGCATAGACAAGACCTAGCAGACGGCCCCATTGACGGTGACCATACTCCATGTGCCAAATAAACTTAAAACGAGAAAGGGTCATCTCTCCTTGTTCACGCACAACACTAAGGCAGAATCAGCTAGAAGCTCTTCCCTTACTGTTCGTATTCGGGAAATTTCTTGTATTTTTCAAATTCCGCAATCCATTCCTCTTGTGAGAGTGGTGGAACCTCTTTAAACGGATGCCAATCGACCATTGACAGGCCCGACTCAGTAAGGCTACCGTACATAGTTAGGCAAGGAAAGCATACCGTGTGACACCTCCAAGTACTACTGCGCCAAATGTCATTCCAGTCAGAACACCCAGCCACGCGCCCACCATTTTTCGAGAGGGTTCCTTTACACCTTCGGCAATTCGATCGGTGACCGTCGAAAAGTTTCTGGGTGTAAATCGAAGAGTACTTCTCACAAGTGGTTTGAGGCCGCATGGCACGCATGACGTGCGACAAGCCTGAGCGGCTGAGCAGAGCAACCTGGAAAGCATGAGAAAACGGGGCAGCGGCCCACACCAAAACAGACGCGACACAGCAACAAAACCAATTTAAAATGCAATTGCTTATCGATGTAAACTATCATTTAAATAATAAAACGAAAACACTTAGGGACAAACTGAAGGTAAAAACGGAAGATAATCAACCATTTTTGCAAAATTATCACAAGAAGTAGTCAACATGGTAGGCTTGTAAGCTGATAATGTTCGGCCCTTGAGAAATGGCACTACTGACTTATGTGAAGTAGTAGTCGGCTGAACAGAACTCCTGTGTGAAATCGCGAGATACTAGTGCTTTATTTGGGGTATTCTGAGCCCTGATGGCATGTCTAATTACTTCTTCCTCTCATTGGTCGAGATAAG